TGTCATTTACTTTGTTCAATTAATTTAGGGGTGTCGTTAAGAGGCGACATGAGGACAAGTATTTTAATAAATTTATATAAATTTTTGAGGAACATCTTTCTTAATTTTCTATGACAGTGCCTCACTCACTATTTCCAAATTTTCAAATTAAAACGGTAATACAGTTCATTTATACTCCGTGTAAATCCATCTCACAGGTCCAATTGTTTTTGGTCTTGCAATAAATTTCAAATTTTCCTCCTTAATGTTTTAAGTGAATCGTTAACGGCCGTCAAAAGGGCTAATCAAAGGGGTTTTTCTTTCTTGCAGAAACGGCGTCTAATTATTTTTCCGGCAGCAATTTCTAATCAATCGATTGCAGCACTGGACGAAAATAAAAACTGTCGTTGATCCATCTTAAACAGACATGAAAACATATCGGCTGACAGACTAACTTGATCACCGGTGTTAATCGCTGCAGGGTCATAACAAAAAGCTGCATTGCGCTGTAATTAATCATTTCTACAGACTGGATGATAAAGTTTCGGAAAAAATAGCCAGTGATGATTAAGGCTGCTTTGTGGATTTTTCATGCGAGAAAATTTGCAGCCGTGGAAATGCCGGTTCTCTGAACACTTTCAAGATTTGGCCCTGTTGACGCCCTTATTATTCAATGTCCTGGCCCCTTTGGCCCCCCTGGCGTCTGCTATGAAAACGGATGACCTGTGATCTGTTTAAGTTATCTACATAAAACTCGCTTACTATAAGAATGTACTCAGAAGTGGATGAGGGATGCTTTGAATTAATGAGTATGAAAGAAGATTCATCATGCAAAAAGAAAATTATTGGTTTCTACTCGTGGCACGCGTCTTTGTCTCAGAACTGTGGTCTAACAAAGCCTGATGTACAAATGTCAGTATAGTTTTAATTGTGATGTTTCACTGTGGTTACGATTACCACACGATTCTTTAGAACCCCCAGACACGCATTGGTGTACTATGACGACAACAGGACAACAATATCATTTAAATCATCCTCAAAGCCAATTTAAACTCGATCATCAGAACCTCATGCAAGATGTATAGAAGGAATTATTTCGGTTCAATGTCGACCTCCCTTCATATGGTAGACGACTCTGTATAGCTTTAACATGGGTGACCCCGAAGGTTTGCCTCAAGAAGTGTGTGATCAGACTGTCCTTTGTCCAAACAGAACTGTCCCCAAAGGTCCACGGGTTCTGTCGGCCTGAATGCTTCAATCTCATTAGCCACTTGAGCAGACTTTCCGGAAGTCCTTCATAGCTACAATACGGACTCCTAAGTATGCGCCTTTATTCAAACATCGCCTGTCATGTGATTTATATCTCGTCCTTTGGTCGGTACTCTGCAGGACGCGCCAGTTGCATTCTGACGTACGTAAGTCAGCGAATAAGTTAAGTTATTCTTTAGTTGACCAAAGATGCCCAAAGCAGACAGCCAGAAGCTGGGACCATTTATGTGTACAGAAAAGTCTGCCTTTTAAATTCAATTTAAAGTTTTGATGTGTTGTTTCGTTTGTTCTGCATACATATATTTTTAAATTATTATGAACGAATTATTGCTAACCATTTCGCTCAGTTCCTAATTAAATTTCATTATTTTAATGACATTGTGAATGGACGTGATTTCGGAAGACTACAACCTCATCTTAGCTCTGTCACAAGTATGGCGACCGACAGCAGGAGCGTCGGCAAGAAGATTTGCACAAAGATGGGTGTTGAGTGATTCCCAGGTTGAACCACGACGGTTATTGATTGATATGGCTGAACGCGAGATCACCTCTCAACCTACATCAAACAGATAGCGGCAAACGACGAGTCGTTTAGATAAACACTGACAACGATGTCATTATAGTGAAGATACTGTTTCTTTTCCAAGATTTCCGCTTCAGCTGCTGTGTTTGGCGTCTCTTGCCCTGTATTGTGCTTTATTCTTGCTTTTGAAAGTGCTTAATTTAAACCATATGCTTTTTCATAACATATTCTCATATTTGGCAAGCAGCTGGTGGCTAAACATTGCCAATTCGACGTTTACTGCCACAGATCTGTTCATATTAAAAATTTTTCGCTCTATCGTGTTCGTATCCAAAGCAGCAGCTTTTCTATATTTTCGTATTAGTACTTTCAGCACTACAGGTGATACAAGCTGAACTTAGTCGATTTTCAACTAAGATTATTTGCAAAGATGACCTCTGCAGTATGCACTGTGCATTCTCCAGTGTTGACACATCTGTTTCAAATCAAACATCAGGTTTTCATATTCTCGATTATTCTCACCTCCCCTTTTCCTCTATGTTTTCATCCAGTGGAAGAGCAACATAAATAATTTCTTG